GCGTTGACCTAAGGAACCCTAAATAAGGAACGAGGCCCCTTTATAAGTTAAACTTCGATTCCCCTTCGGAAGCCAAAGGAAAACCCAAGGCAAACTGTAAAACAATCAAGGAACGCCGAGCCCCTCCCCAACGAAAAGCGTTCCTTCTTCAAGGCCCCGACTGTACTCCCCTCTTCCATGAGCCTGACTCTGAGCGGCGAAGCGCGTGGCGTCTGAAGGCGTCGAGCGGCGAGGAAGCATGACTCAGCGGCGCGCGTGCAGCGAAAAGCAGCTCGTACCCTTCTCACATTGACAGACTGAGCTGGGAGAGGCGGTGCGGAGAAGGTGCGGAAAGATGGGGGAACCATCGCGGGAACCCACATCATGCTCCTCCTGAGGAACTGAAGCGCTGATGGCAATAAAGTCTTCAGACGTAGCCATCCCTGGTCCCTCCTCCTCCTGCGCTCCCGCGCCGCCTTTCTCTCCTCTCCCGCGCCTCCTCCCACTCGTCCTCGGACTTTCCTCCGCCCCACTCCTCCTTCCCCTCGTCCTCGTCCTCGTCCTCCTCGTCTTCCCCTCGTCTTCGCTCTCGTCCTCGTTCTCGTTGTCGTTGTCCTCGTCGTGTTCGTCCTCGTCGTCGTGTTCGTCGTCGTCGTACTCCTCCTCCTCCTCCTCCTCCTCCTCCTCCTCCTCCTCGTCCTCTTCCTCCTCCTTCTCCTCCTCCTCCTCCTCCTCCTCCTCCTCCTCCTCCTCCCCTCGCTTCGAACATTCTGGTCGTCCTTGGGCCATTTCTGGGCCAACGCTCTGGAGTCTCCCGGAGGAGGAATCAGGAGGAGGAGGAGGAGGGGGAGAAGGAGGAAATGAGGGCGAGAAGTCGCCTGTGAGAGCAGAGGAGGCTGGCTGGCAGTTGAAGCCTCGTCCCCGGGGTGTGCCCCGCTCTACACAGGGCACTTCTGCGGCTCCCCTCCTGCAACCCCCGGCGCGCGGCGTGCGTGGCGGGCCGACCCGCCGATGCGAGAGCGGGCCCGCGAGAGGGCCAGGGCCCAACCACGGCAGGCATGCATGTGTTCGACCATGGACCCCTTTGCCACGCATCTTGGCCCCTGAAGATCGGGCCGGGCGAAAGGGGGGGATAGCAAAGGGGGGGTTTGAGAATCAGCTCACGCAACAGCTTTTCCAGGCGCCTCCCGGCGCCGGAGGCGGCCACGTATCGAGGAACGGACCCCTCGGTGGGGCCGAAACAATCTGCACGCAGCAGATTTCGTACCCCCCCCTTTCCCTATCCCCCCCTTTCGTTCGGCCCGAGACGACCGCCGAGAGACCGCCGGAAGACCGCCCGCGAGCGCGCGCCCCGCCGCGGGCGCCGGGGCCCGGCGCGGTCTTCGGCGGCCTTCGGCGGCCTTTTTCGGCGGCCTTTCGGCGGTGAGGCCTGCGGGGTGAGGGCCAGAGAAGGGGGAAGAGGGGACGACGAGGCGGAGAAAGAGGGGTCTCACGTGGAGGAGAAACAACAACTTGCAACAGCAGCGTGTCGTCCCAGCCGGCCTCTGGATCGGTGTGTGCGTGTTTGTGTGTGTGTGTGTGTGTGTGTGTGTGTGTGTGTGTGTGTGTGTGTGTGTGTGTTTGTGTGCGTGTTTGTGTGCGTGTATGTTTATGTGTATGTGTACGTATAAGTATATGTGTATGTGTGTATGCGTGTATGCGTGTATGTGTGAATGTGTGTGAAGATGTGTATAGGTGTATGTGTGTATGTGTGTATGTGTATGTGGGCTTATGTGGGCGTATGTGTGTATGTATGTTTATGTGTGCATGTGTGTCTGTGTGTATGTGTGTATGTGTGTGCTTGTGTGCTTGTGTGCGTGTGTGCGTGTGTGCGTGTGTGCGTGTGTGGTGGTGGTGGTGGTGGTGGTGGTGTGTGTGTGTGGGGGGAGGGTAAACTTAGAGCGCACGTCCCTTGTTCTGTGCTCTTCGCCGACGTACGCAGCACATCACCTGTTCGGAGCGCAGCAGCGGCATACGTACGCATGCTTCTGGGTTCCAGCCCACTCCGTGCGGTCTCGTAGTGTGGGTGGCAGCCATCAAGCTGAATACCTCGGGCATCTCTGGGAGAGCGGGCAACCTATTCATTTTCCAGGTGGGAGAGCGACCCTATCGTGGGTCGACGGCGCGGTGCGCAGGGGGTGGGGCGAAGGGTCTGGCCCTTTAGGACACGCGACGCCTCCTCAAACGCAACAGGGCAATGTTTAATACATCGGTTCTTAAACATATAGGATTTTAGTGCATGATTAATTTACGAATCGAATTATGCACGAACTCATCGTTGTTTTCAATAATAATTTCTGCATTTTTCATACATGATCCGCACGCGGAGCATGTATTAAAAACGGCACTGCACCCCCCTCTCTCGCCCCCCCTGTGCGCGCCGCCGCCCTTCGGACGTGGCAGCAATGCACGGGCTCGTGGCACGACAGTGCTCCGCCGGGGAAAAGTGGCGCCCCTCCTGGCTGAAGAGGTTCAGCTGCTGCACCACCTGCTGCTGCACGGCATTGTCCGGCGAGGACGCCAGCTGGAAGAGCTGGCAGAACTGCCCGAACTTTGCCTCCGAATGTTCGCGCGGCGGCACCGATTCATTCCCAGGGCTGGCTTGGGCTCGCGTGAAAGGTCTTCCGATGCCAGGGCTCCCCTCCCTCGCCCCCCCCTCGCCCCTGGGCTCCTCTTTCTGCCCGTCCAGCCCTCCTGTCTCTCGCGGCGTCCCTCTCACTCCCCCCCTGCTCCTTTCCCCGAGCTCTGACGGCGCCCCCATCCTGTTTCGCACAATTTGGATGCCCTCCCAAGAACCACCGCGGCCACGCTCCTCTTAATATGGAATGCGTTGGTCGCAATTCCATGCGTCCTGTGGCGGCTTTCCCTGGAATCTACAGGCTCAAAACAATGTTCTCCTATCAACGGTCCACGGGCCAACGCCGGCTTGCAGCTGGTCGCATGTTAGTGAGGGCGAGGTGACGTGGGCATTAACCATCAAATAGATGGCGCCGCACAACTTGCGCTGCATAATTGGCACTCACTTTCTACTGAGCGGCACTGATTTCAATGCTTTTCGCGGCCACGGCCGCCAACTCGAGAGGACTTTTGCCGCCGTGCTTCGGAATCTCTTGTTCTTTTCCTTTGGGCTCCTCGTCGCTGCGGTCGGACTCGGCTGCGACTGGCGCCTGTGTGCGCCTTCCGGGTGCCCTTCACCCTTCACATCGAAGCAAATTGCGAGAACGTCTCAAGCGAAACCGCATCCAAACCAAGCCACACCAGGCAAAGCGCAAGGACATCTCGGGCGAAGCCACGCCCAAACCAAGTCAAACCAGGCAAATAGTAAGGGCGTAAAAGGAACATCGCCCAAAACCAAGCCAAACAAAATCCATCCCGAGGACGCATCACAACAAAATCGCGCCCAAGTCAGGCCAGACCAGGCAAATTGCGAGGACGTCTCAAGCGAAACCGCGCCGAAACGAAGGCAAACCCGGCAAATTGAGCGGACGTCTCCGGCGAAACCGCGCCGAAACCAGGCAAACTGCGAGGACGTCTCAAGCGAAACCAACACCTAACCAGGCAAATGCTGAGAATGCCTCAGGCGGGGCGCCCTGCCAATCTATGGCAAACCAAAGGAAAACATGCCAAACCAGTGCACAAGCCAAGCAAATTCAGAGGATGTCCTCGCCCCATCCCCTCTGATAGATATAAACATGGGCTGAAAGGAAGTGGATGACCCAAGGGGGTCCCGCCGCAGGGGGGTTCTTTAGCCAGAATGCTGTAGGGTGAGTGGGTTGGGCACAACAGCATGCACACAGTTGCAGCGAATCACATTTGTCTTTCGGTTGTTGTCCAGATGTCGGTGCGCCACTAGGAAACATACTCCCCGTCTGTAGGAAACTCCGAAGTGACGTTGCAACAGCTCCTGCGCAACAATTGCTGTAAAAAGGTCTTCTTGGTAGACAGAAAAAACTAGCCTAACACATCATACATACAGATGACGCGCATCCGATGCACCAATGAATATCGCTGCCATGCTCAATATCGATATTTGTGCAGCGTCGTACTACCAATCTTCCGTAAAGGCGTAACATGTCTTACACAATGTCCAAGGTCCCAGCCGTGAATCTCGGTCCCAGATTTTTCGAGATAGTGGGGAGGCCCGGCCATAGTGTCACAACCATCGGGTCTTGGCCTAAACATTCGGATCTCTGGTCGTCCACGAAGTCTCTGCCGTACCGTCCCGGCCACATTCCACCAGCCCTGTGGGCAGAGGTGGTATACCGAGTCAGTTTCTTCCCTCTTTCAAACCTTTTTCGGGGAAGGATTTGCCCCTTACCCTCCCCCCTCTCCTGGTTCTGAAAGGAGGGAGGGCTCGGGTCGGTGGAGCGTCCGAGATGGCCCAGGACGGCTCCAAGACAGCCTCCGAGAGCGCCAGATGCCCTCCAAGACGGTGCAAGATGCCCAAAGACAGCCCCTAAGAGGTAAACACCAGTCCAGAAGCTGCAATCTTTGTTGGCCTTCGCGTCGACTCGCTTCCGATGGACTCTGGATGCCTCAAGATGGAGGAGGAGGAGGAGGAGGAGGAGGAGGAGGAGGAGGAGGCCCTAGGATTGCCCAAGAGAGCCCAAAGACGGGGCCCCACTAAGGGCCCAGGAGAAAGCTCCGAGAGCGCCAGGCAGGCGCCCAAGAAGAGCGACCACAGATGACCCGAATGAGTAACTATTCTAAGATGGGGAGGAGGAGGAGGAGGAGGAGGAGGAGGAGGAGGAGGAGAAGGAAGAGGAGGAGGAGGATACCCCCTTCTCGCCCCCCCCCCTTGTCGCCCCTTCCTGCCCCTCCCCCTCCCCGCCCCTCCTTTTTGAGCCACGGGGCCCGGGATCGCCCCCCCAGAAGGGAGACAGGCGGTCCGAACAGGCTGCCGGCACGACGCCACGAGGGCTCCATGAGAGGCCTCCAACGACGCCTTTTGGGAGGCTTGCGGGGCGAAGTGCCCGGGACGGCCTGCCTGCTCCTCCACTTGCCCTGGCCTATCGCCTGGACATCGCTTCTGGAAATGCTCGTGGGGGTACGCGATAGGTGAAGAATCCCACCAGCCCGTCAGGGTAGTTGCTTTAGAGCGCTTCCTCTTCCGAACCTCTGCCTGCCATTCGGGGAAGGGTTTACCACTGTTCCTTATGTGTACATACATATAGATGTATACACATCTTCCCCCACCCGACCGGGGGCGAACCCCCCCTCCAACTTCTGTCAGACAGCCATACGAAATACACTCTGTGGACAGGTCGTCATTATTCTTGGGCGCCCCGCAACCACTTCGCCTGGTCAGTTGACATGGATGATGGGGGTGCCCGGGCATGCGCGGCGCACCTCGAGGGCGTCCCGCACCTGTCTGGCGTCTGCGCTGGTTCCCGACAAGTGTCGATGGCGGCCCATGCTCATGCTGAGACTCTGGTGCTGCTCATGCGGTGGGAGGGCGGGCGGGGGTGAGCGACACGGCCGTCCGTCGGGGGGGGGAGGGGGTAGCTTGCCCCCTCCCCCTGCCCCATCCCTCTGGGTCTGGCAGGGAGGGGGGGGGCGGCGGGTCGTTGGAGCGCCCACGATGGCACAAGATGGCTCCAAGATGACCTGAGATAGCCCAAGACGGCCTACAGTATGTTATAGCACACATCAATATGTAGTGCACCATGCCCCACGAGGGTGCAAGACCGCTCCAAGGCGGGCCCCAAGTTGCGGCGGGGCCTCCCCGGGACGCCTCCAAGAGGCCAGCCCCCTCTCAAAATCGAAGGAGCATCGATGCGCCTGGCCTTCTTGGCTCTTCGCTTCCGACTGGCTTTGGGAAGCCGCACGCTGGCTCCTCCTCCTCCTCCGCCTCCTCCCTCCTCCTCCTCCTCCGCCTCCTCCTCCTTCTCCTCCTCCTCCTCATCATCATGGCTCACGAGGGCCTCAAGGCGGTCGCAAGAGCGCTCATGAGCGCTTCAAGAGGGCTCCGAGCGGCGATTCGAGGGGCTCTTCAGGGGCGACGCTGTTATGGGACATCCCTTGTTTGATCGATCCCAGATGGCCCCAATAGGGCCTCCAATGCTCCCGGGAGTCTTCCCAGGGAGCCCCAAGAGGGCCTCCCAGGCTCCCACAAGTGCCTCAAGGGAGCTCCCACATGATTTCAAAGGCATATCATGCATCATGCCCCAATCTGCCCCCATGAGCTCCCAAGATCGTCCCTCGAGCGCCCCAAGGCGCCTCCAAGACGCGACCTTTTGGGGCTCCAGACGGGGGAGAGAGGGGGGTGGGGGGCGCTGTTAGGGGGCCAGCCTTTCTGTCACCGATGCCCTCCAAGATGGCCTCCCAGGTGGCCTCCCTCCTCCAACCTCCCCTTATCCTCGCTTCCTCCCTCTTAAGCTTCCCCCTCCTTCGACGCAAGGCGTCACGGCCGCCACCCTGCTGAACAATCTAACCATCCTCGACTCAATCCTCGTCCTCCCTCGTCCTCCCCCTCCTTTCATGAAGCCATGCCATGTGTAGCTCGCTCTTGGGCCTGCTCGGCGTCCTTGCGAGCGTTCGTTTCACGGCTGTCCTCTGCCTGGGCATCGTTTCCGAACGGGCTGGTGGGGGTACTTTTTTGGTCGCGGCCGCGAGCGACAGCGCAGGCGGCGAACAGGGTGTCCGGGCCGACGGGCAAACCTAATTAGCTGCAAGGCGCAAGCTGGTGGGGATACGCGACGCGTCAACAGTTTCTACCTGATCTGCACAGCCAGGAGCCCACGCGCGGGGACCGTCCTATCACTGCTCGCCGAACACGTCAGGGCACATCGTGGCACCATCCGCCAGCGTGCCCGCACACTCGTTTTTCGGCATCCAAGCGCAGTGTACACGTTCCCTCTACCAGCCTGGCAAGCTCTACCACTCACCATGTGCTCCGCAGTTTAAGGTAGGATACAGCGCGGTGCGAAAGCTGGCAGCGAGGGACGGAGCGCGACGAAAAAGGCTTGCGTCGCAATGGCTTCAGGATGGTGACGCCTGTCGTGCAGTAGTGTCGACGTGAGTGCTGCGGGTGCTGGGTGGAGTGGGGTTCCTGGTGTAGCAGCCACGACGCGTGTCACCATCGCCTTGGGCATCAGATGAGGGTTTGACTCAGACGCTCTGATTGGCACTTGGACTCAGAATCACTGGTGAGCCTGAGGCATGCTGCGTTTGAGTCGATCCCTTCCTCCTACCTTCTGGGCGCAAGGACGCTGCTTCAAAGAGGTGCAGTGTCTCGCGGAGGCAACCTGCACGCAGGGCGGCGGCTCGCCCACAAGGCGGCGCCTGGGCAGAGCGCTCAGTAGCCGTAGCCGTAGCTTTTGCTCTTCCCCTTGCCGCCCGACTTGCCGTAGCTGTCGCCGTAGCCGCCGCCCTTTGAGCCGTAACCGCCTCCCTTCGAGCCGTAGCTGCTTCCCTTCGAGCCGTAGCCGCCACCGTACCCCGTGCCATAGCTCGACCCGCCCCAACTGTTGTACGAATCGTAACCGTAGCCGGAACTCTTTCCCTTCTTTCCCTTTCCGCTGCTCTTCCCGTAATCGTACGAGTTGTAGCTGCCGTAGCCGTAGCCGTAGGAGTCGTCTTTGCCGTAGCCCTTCGACTTCGACTTGCCCTTCTCGTATGAGACCTTGCCTTTACCTTTGGACGGCTCGTCCTTACCCTTCGACTTACCCTTGCCCTTGCCCTTCGACTCGGACGCGTCCTTGCCCTTGTCCTTTCCCTTGCCCTTGCCCTTGCTAGAGGGCTCGGCCGCTTTGCCCTTACCCTTGTCCTTATCCTTACCCTTACCCTTGGGGGCGCTCTTTCCCTCGCCCTTGCTCTTTCCCTTGCCCTTCTCTCCCTTGCCCTTGCCCTTGCCACGTCCCTTGCCGCGGCCGCGACCCTTGCCCACCTGCTCCGGGTCGAAATCCGTAACTAATGCCTCGTCGATGGGCGGCTGGTAGCCCTTGTCAGAGCTGTCCAGCGCCTCTTTCGAGAGGGTGATGTCAAGCACCGCGACGGTGCGGGTGTCAGTAACCATTTCGAGCCCCTCCTCGAGGGGCTCGTACTCGTCCACAATTTCCACGCTGCCAAGGCTGGTGATCTGGTGGAGGCCCTTGAAGCGCCGCTTGATGACCTCCGTCAGCGTGACCGCCTTGGTCAGCGCACCGCCCGTGGCCTTGATGACCACCTTGGGCTTCTCCAGCTCGTTGAAAACCTTGGCTGCGCGGGATATGTATGCAGAGACACTTCCCGCCGATGTGACGCGGATCTCGTCCTCGGCAACGGCTTCGGTGCTCTTAGGCTTGTCGACCTTGCGGTACTTGTCCATGCTGAGAGGGACGGGCGCGGGCCACCGGTGCGCGCGCGCTGCTCTCGCGTTTGGGAGTCTTGCGGCCAGGACTGGATCCCCTCTCTGGCTCTGCCTCTGGCTTCAGAACCGAAACGGCTCGAGCCAAAATTGCGAGGAAACAGGTCCACAGCACGCTGGGGCGCGTCACCATGCCTGCTAGCTGTCTGGCAACGTTACTATACTTCTCTGTGGACGGCCACTTCCATCCCGACACCCGTGCTTAGAAACACAACCCTTACGTTGGCTTTCCTGGAACTCTTCTCGGCCCCCAAGCGGCTCCAAGACGGCCCAAAATCGGCTCAAGCCACACGCACGGTGACCCCAATCTTGTCCAAGACTACCTGTACGCCGTCCAGAAACCGCAATATGTCCACAACGTCCCCTGGGATCTGCGCAGTGGGACTCGGAAATATAGTTTTTTGTTCCTGGGACGGTTGCAAAAAAGGTTCTCGGTGCTAGAAAGAGCATGCCAGACCAATCAAACATAGTGAAGTTATGCACCCGATGCGTATCCACCGACCCCCGCTTGCCGGGGGGAGAAGGCGTGTGAGATGACTGGCTGTTTCCCTCCCAATTCCCCCTCCCCCGAGGCCCAAAATCCCAAAGCAGAAGGGGGGGTGGGGTGGGGGGACGGTGGGAGGTTGAGCCCGCCAACCCATCTCTGGAGCTCTCGGAGCCTCCACACATTAACTTAATGTGTGGAGGCTCCGAGAGCTCCAGAAACCCCAAGATACCTTCTAAGATGGCTCCGGAAGGGCCCAAGAACATCCAAGGTGCCCTCAAGACGGCCAGTCACGCCGAAAGAGGGCGCCAAGGAGGACCCCCAAGAGGGCCCAAAGAGGTGAAACTGCATATTTCCAAGGGTGTTTGAACGACTTTCGCAGTCTCGCTTTTCGGGCGTGTGCAAAATCCCAACACGGCGGCAGAAGCACCCGAGACTGGCCAACCCACAACGGCCCAAGAGGCTCCCAAGAGAACCCGCAATCTGCCCCCGAAGGCCCGAAGACGGTTCAAGAGGCCCCCCAGGCAGCAAACGCACCCACCGAGAAAGGCTCAAGAAAGGGAAACCCGCAGGGACCCATGGGGCCCTCCTCCAGAAGAAACCTCGAAGAAGCCCCCAAGAGGCCGCCAAAGAGCCCCCGGGGGGCCGTCCGTAAGGCCTGCAGGAGGCCCCCTAAAAGCCCGGCAACGGAAGCGAACGACGAGAAAGACGACCCAACGAGAACCGCACGCAGGCAGCACGACGGGAAGCGGCAAACACCTCGCACGAAATCGGAAGCCGCACATTTCCTCTTCTGGAGGTCGGCAGAAAGGCGTAAACCTTTCGAATCGTAGTTACCGTTGCTGTGCGCGATGCTGCTGGGTGTTGTGGTTGAATACTCAGCTTCCGCAAGCCACGCTGCATCATGCTGGGAGGCTGCCTCCAACATGGAATGGTCGTATACATCCATAGGACGTGTTTCAACTAAAAAGGGTCTGACGGCGTGGATCCCCCAAAATTGGCTCCGCATGCTGGGCTTCCAAAGGTGCCCTGGCCACCAAGTTCCAGCCGTGAATTTACGACCCACACGTTTTCAGACGCCCGGAAGGCCCGACCATGGGGACACGACCATCGTGTCGCGGCCTGAGCGCTGGGTTCCCTGGTCGTCCGTGAGGCCCCTTCCACCCTGTCCTGGTCGCACTGCTTCCTGATCTTCACCGCTGGGGGCCACGCGCTGGTGGCATCCGATCAGACCACGCCCAACGCTCAGAGCATCTCATGGCATCATCCGCCACCGTGCCCATGGCACGCTCTTTAGTCTGCATCGTTCGTGTCTGTCCAAGCGCAATGTGCACGTTCCCTCTACCAGCCTGGCAAGCTCTACCACTCACCATGCGCTCCGCAATTTAAGGTAGGATACAGCGCGGTGCGAAAGCTGGCAGCGAAGGACGGAGCGCGACGAAAAAGGCTTGCGTCGCAATGGCTTCAGGATGGTGACGCCTGTCGTGCAGTAGTGTCGACGTGAGTGCTGCGGGTGCTGGGTGGAGTGGGGTTCCTGGTGTAGCAGCCACGACGCGTGTCACCATCGCCTTGGGCATCAGATGAGGGTTTGACTCAGACGCTCTGATTGGCACTTGGACTCAGAATCACTGGTGAGCCTGAGGCATGCTGCGTTTGAGTCGATCCCTTCCTCCTACCTCCTGGGCGCAAGGACGCTGCTTCAAAGAGGTGCAGTGTCTCGCGGAGGCAACCTGCACGCAGGGCGGCGGCTCGCCCACAAGGCGGCGCCTGGGCAGAGCGCTCAGTAGCCGTAGCCGTAGCTTTTGCTCTTCCCCTTGCCGCCCGACTTGCCGTAGCTGTCGCCGTAGCCGCCGCCCTTTGAGCCGTAACCGCCTCCCTTCGAGCCGTAGCTGCTTCCCTTCGAGCCGTAGCCGCCGCCGTACCCCGTGCCATAGCTCGACCCGCCCCAACTGTTGTACGAATCGTAGCCGTAGCCGGAACTCTTTCCCTTCTTTCCCTTTCCGCTGCTCTTCCCGTAATCGTACGAGTTGTAGCTGCCGTAGCCGTAGCCGTAGGAGTCGTCTTTGCCGTAGCCCTTCGACTTCGACTTGCCCTTCTCGTATGAGACCTTGCCTTTACCTTTGGACGGCTCGTCCTTACCCTTCGTCTTACCCTTGCCCTTGCCCTTCGACTCGGACGCGTCCTTGCCCTTGTCCTTTCCCTTGCCCTTGCCCTTGCTAGAGGGCTCGGCCGCTTTGCCCTTACCCTTGTCCTTATCCTTACCCTTACCCTTGGGGGCGCTCTTTCCCTCGCCCTTGCTCTTTCCCTTGCCCTTCTCTCCCTTGCCCTTGCCCTTGCCACGTCCCTTGCCGCGGCCGCGACCCTTGCCCACCTGCTCCGGGTCGAAATCCGTAACTAATGCCTCGTCGATGGGCGGCTGGTAGCCCTTGTCAGAGCTGTCCAGCGCCTCCTTCGAGAGGGTGATGTCAAGCACCGCGACGGTGCGGGTGTCAGTAACCATTTCGAGCCCCTCCTCGAGTGGCTCGTACTCGTCCACAATTTCCACGCTGCCAAGGCTGGTGATCTGGTGGAGGCCCTTGAAGCGCCGCTTGATGACCTCCGTCAGCGTGACCGCCTTGGTCAGCGCACCGCCCGTGGCCTTGATGACCACCTTGGGCTTCTCCAGCTCGTTGAAAACCTTGGCTGCGCGGGATATGTATGCAGAGACACTTCCCGCCGATGTGACGCGGATCTCGTCCTCGGCAACGGCTTCGGTGCTCTTAGGCTTGTCGACCTTGCGGTACTTGTCCATGCTGAGAGGGACGGGCGCGGGCCACCGGTGCGCGCGCGCTGCTCTCGCGTTTGGGAGTCTTGCGGCCAGGACTGGATCCCTTCTCTGGCTCTGCCTCTGGCTTCAGAACCGAAACGGCTCGAGCCAAAATTGCGAGGAAACAGGTCCACAGCACGCTGGGGCGCGTCACCATGCCTGCTAGCTGCCTGGCAACGTTACTATACTTCTCTGTGGACGGCCCCTTGCATCCCGACACCCGTGCTTAGCAACACAACCCTTACGTTGGCTTTCCTGGAACTCTTCTCGGCCCCCAAGCGGCTCCAAGACGGCCCAAGATCGGCTCAAGCCACACGCACGGTGACCGCAATCTTGTCCAAGACTACCTGTACGCCGTCCAGAAACCGCAATATTTCCACAACATCCCCTGGGATCTGCGCAGTGGGACTCGGATTTTTTTCCTTTTCCTGGGACGGCTGCAAACAAGGTTCCCGATGCTAGAAGGAGCATGCCAGACAAATCAAACATAGCTGTCTGGCAACGTTGCTATACTTGACTGTGGGCGATCCCCCCCCTCCCGCACCCTTGCGTTGGTTTTTCTGGCTTTTCCTCTGCCCCGAGTGGCCTGGAACCTGATGGTTCACGTGGCCGAAGACAGTATAAAACTTCTCTGGGAATGGAACTCCGAAGATCAAGAGCAGAGCAAGGGGTGGGGGCGTGTCGATGGGAAACAGAGCATAATCGCAGGAGTCGTCGGCCTTGTCAACGCACTCGTCTGGCTCACGATTCAGGATCTGTCCGTTGACGAGGAATCCAAACCTCGACAAGCTATGGTAGTTCGAGCAGTCGTACGCCACGTTCAGAGCCATGTGCCCAGAGATCCGATGTCGTGATTTTTTCAATGTGCGGTCCTCAGAAGTCTTGACCCATTCCTCAGGACAAATTTTTCATCCTGAATCGTTTCGTGACGGTCCCGCGGCCTGGCGAGGGCCCCAAGGGGCTGACATTAGCGAAAAAACTCCGTCTTGTTATTTTCAATGCGCCGGATCTATGGTCTGTTCGGCCGGCTCCGGAGCGCCTGGAGTCACCCGAGCCCCCGCGGGGTCCAGCCGTATCTCCTACTGGCCTTCAGGTTCGCCTTTGGCGTCGAGCTTTTCATGCCCTCGGCAGCTCGCCCTGGGAGGGTCATGTGTTTGCGCGAATGAGTTTGATGAGGTGGGGATGCTCTTGCAGCTGCTCATATGCATCTGTAGAGGGGGAATAGAGGGGGAAGACGACGAATCGCACTCCTGAGCACCATGATGCTGATCATGATATTCACAAGAAGAATCAGCAGACACTGGGGGCCCGACCACAAGAGATATTCCACAGTAAACCCAACCCTGCGACCCCAGGACGCCCATCGATTCTTTCTTTGTGTGGGGACGTCACGCTCTCCACGGCAACACCATCGAAACCCAAAGCAACCCAGGGCACCCTGAAGGCAAGCAGGGTGTTTCTTGGCACGGCCCCGCCAGCTGTAACAGTCACGAGAAGACTCAGCACAAGACCAAGAAGACTCGCGATAACCAAAACCATACTTAGAAGAGCTGTCAGGCCGAGGCGACGACGACGACGACGACGACGACGAGGACGACGACGACGACGACGACGACGACGACGACGACGACGACGACGACGACGACGACCGCACGAGGCCGCGGGAGAGCCTCGTCGCCCCTCCACTCCATGGCCGCCGCTGGCCCCTTGTCGGCGGGGGGGCGGGGGGAGATGAGGAGGAGGAGTGAGGTAGGAGGAGGAGGGAGGAGGAGGAGAGAGGAGGACGGAGGAGGGGAGGGAGGAGGAGGAGGAGGAGGAGAGGAGGAGGAGGAGGAGGAGGAAGCAGTAGGAGGAGAGGGAGGAGGAGGAGGAGGAGGGAGGGAGGGAGGG